AGTAAAATATGTCGGTCGTACTAATAGACATTTCAAATCTAAAAAAGGTAATAATTCCTTTCGTTTTTGTTTTGTTATTTTTTTCATCGAATTGACTTTATCTAGAAAAGAACTAAATGTTATCCAATATCATGATGGCATATAATGTTTATCATACAAATCCAGGTTAATGTCAAGGTAAGATCTATTGGATTGTATTTAAAATAATAGACTTAAGTGTAAAATATATATGACAGATGTGTTGACACCAATTGTTTATGTATTTATGGATTTTTTTCATTAATAAGTCGTTCTATGAATTCATTATTTGATCGTGATCAAATTGAAATAAATTGTCGTCTGTAGCGAACAACTAGATTGGATTAGCTTGTGCCACTCTCGGCAAAGATGTTTATTCGTTTATTCACATATCCAGAGTGTCCGACAAAACTAGAGTGTCGCCTATGCCCGTCGGCATGATGGTGTATTGTGTCATCTGACATCTCCAGAGTGTAACAACTTCATACATGACGCACGTATATATACGAGAGAGATAGAAGAGAGACAGGAGAGAGATACATTAGAACAATGGAAAGAGAACAGAAAGAGAAGGAAGGAGAATCATCGAAGCGTGCCATCAATATCGGCACATCGTCTTCATTCCTTTAATTTAATATTTCGTTCAATTGTTAATGAATTTCGGAGTAAAATTAATTCCAACATAGAAAAAGAAGAAAATTGTTTATTTGCTTATCGTTATTTATTACTTGCTTGTGAAAGAGAAATTCACTGATTTGATGATATTCTTCATGTATATGAACTTGTTTGGATTAGTTCAATATCACCATTAAGAACAAATGATCGATCATTCTTTACAATTTTTTTTGTATATCAATTCTTCAAGAAAATCATCAAAAAATTCTCTCTTATCCGAATGAAGGAGATCTACACAAGCATTCTTTTTTTTCATCAGTTTCTTCTTGGTTCAGATCTCGCCACTTAACTAAACGAACTTTAGAATGAGCACAACTATATTATTCAATTTATACATCATCACAAAAATAAACTTGTTCTTTGTTTTTTTTTATACTACACAAGTCAGCGTTCTTGGCTCTGTTCTTTCCAGATTCTTTTTTTTGTTGATTAATCTATCAAGATTCTCATCAGTCTTGAAGTTCAGCCAAGACTCTTTCTATCGATTAATAGAATGATAGAAAGAATCGTTCTAGATTTGAAAAATAGATAGCCATTCTTTGTTTCTTATCTCTATATAAATCTCTTACACGTACTTCATCGTTCATTTCTATAGTGAACGTCTTACCGTTAACATTCTATATGAATGAAGTAATTAGCTTTAGAAAAAAAAGACTATATTTTCTTAAGGTTTTTATGAACTACTCGATGAAAATTTTATGAAAACGGCTAAGAGCTTTTGACTTTAATTTCGTTTTTACTTTTTTTTATCGATAATGTTTCTTGTTATACTATCTTTCTGTTCATTAATTAATTCTTGTAATCCAAGTGAAAATTTCAAGAATAAAACCTTGATAAACACTAAATAATAGAAGATTCATAATCATTTTTACAATAAAGCGCAAGAATCTTGCTAGACTATCGAAAAATTTTATTTACAGTGAAAACATCGAAAGAAAAAATGTCGAACGAAAAAAGGATCGAATGAAGAAAAATGTCGAATCAATAAAAAATATTGTTAGACGAAAAATATAAAATATATATTTTATTTTATTTTATTGCAAAAAAAGAAGAACGGTGCGGTCATTGTTAGGGACAAATAGCTATTAAAAAATGAATCATTCGATACATCCATATGCACGCGATTAATATAAAGTTTATGTGGGTTTTTGCGCTGAGCAATGATATGTTATTCAACAATTGCTCGATGTCGACGTCATTGTTGTTGTAACGTGCGATGTGAGTATCGATACGTTTTTAAAATACTATTAGTAACCCTTGAACTTGGTCGACATTTAGCACCTATGCTGATTTGCACATATAAGTGTTGAAATCGGCTTTCTTCACTAACAGTGCATCTGATAAATGGGTTCAGTACAGGTGTTAAACGTCGACCACGTTCAAGTTCTACGAATGGTATTTTAGAAAACGTATCGATACTTTTATGGCACGTTACAACAACAATGATGTCGACATCGAATAGTTGCTGAATAGCTTATCATCGCTCAGCGCAAAAACAACATAAACTTTATAGTAATCACGTACACCTGGGCTTAGCGATGTGCAGTTTCAGTTTACTTTTTTTTTTTTTTTTACATTCAGTAATAGTTAATTTTTGTGCCTTTTGTATGGTTCACAATTTCAAATATAGCTGTCTGTCATTTTTTATGTCTACACCGCAGTTTTTACATGCTATCGGATGGGTGGTCCNTTCGGACCTAACAATAGCTACGCCATTATAAATGAGCTCTAACATATTAGTTAGCATAAATTTGTAACATGTTGATATCTTATGGAGTATTGACCACTGTGGGGGTTAAAACTGCCTCATTCATAATTCGAGTTATGACTTTTGTGTTATAATCGATGAACTTTTAAGTCGAAAAGTAAATTCTGTGGTAATATTCAACCGTAGCTATAACATTTCACCCTGTTTATAACCTGCAACCCTAGTTATAACATTCAACCCTAGTTATCACATTCAACTCTACTTATAACATTGAACCATGAGACGTGGTCAAGTTCCCAGAAGTCTGGAACTCTTCGCGAATTGAAACTCAAAAATAAATAAGCTACAACGAGCGATCTGAAACGAAAACACGTGAAGCATCTCTGGGAAATCAAGGAACTCAGGGAAGTCGAGGAATCCGAGAAACTCTGAGACTCCAAACAACTCAAGGAACTCAGAGAAGTCACTGAAGTCAGGGAATCCAATGAACCTACGACCACGATATAGTGTAAGTGTATGTATGAAGGAAAGTAGTAGAAGATATCCCCCCACACCCCAATGATGGTTTCTCCATTTTTTTCGACTTCGACGAGACCATCGTACCACTCGTTGGTTCCCTCGACTGCAAATGATGAGACTGTCTGTCTCTTTGCCAACAATTACATCTACTTGAAAGTTCAACTGATTAGGCTGATTTCCTGGTCCATTGCCACCAGCCACCACTTGGCCACTTGTTGCGCCCGACTTCCATTCCATATTACGATGATTCCATGTGCCAGCGATGAAGACAGTTTGATCATCATCTACATAAAGGCCGTACAGTTTATTGAGCTTATTTACTCTACTATCCTGTCCACTGCTGCCAGCTACACTGGCGCCATCCTGTGTCCATTTGACGTTTAGTGGAATGTTCGGGATAACTAGAACACGAAAATGGCGCTCGAGAACATCGCAGCAAGAGACAAAAACGACGTTTGTCTTCCTCCTTACCAGTGTGCAGAAGAGATGAGTTCCGAATACAATGATTTCTATAGACCCTATGAGGGCGATATTCTTCTACCCCCCTCTCTCTCTGTTATAATTAAAATGCACAAAGAAGGGTTTTACCACGCTTCTAATTAATAGATTGTTTTCACGATAAGTGTGGTGGCGAGGAGATAAGACGAAACGAAAACATTTAATTTGTTCGGATTTCAATTCCGACTCAAAGTCGGCAGTCATTATGAATGAATGTGAACGACCCTTCTTTCGAACCTGACCGTACATATGAATGAAGTCAAATAATCAGAAAGAATGATTAGGTCTCAATCAAAATTTTGAACAGAAAGTAAAATGCTGGCGCTACTGGAAAACATGACATTTCTGCTTATAAAACGAACGTTTTTCATCCCGTGAAATTTAGTGTGAGTCATTTGACGAACAGGATAAAAAAATCTAGGATGCCTATATTTGAACTTTGTATATATACAAGTAACGTTCATCGTATAGCGATTCACTCACCCATAAACTAAAAGATGAGATAAGAGGGTGTGGGCATTTATATAGATATGCTTTTCATATACTCACACCTACATCCTCAATATGTTCTCATATTCCAAATATAGAATCTCTCAGCTTTCTTCAGATGATGATTGACTTAATACTTCCCTTGATTAAATTCCGAATATGTGCCGTAGATGATGAAGAGCTCGATATCCTCACACCACGAACTAGAATTATTGCTTTGATTGGGTAATGCACGAAATTTGATGGAAACTTCTAGTGTTTGTATTTCGTCATTCAAATACATATTGACGCTCTCGTTAGACGAACCTGTTCACAACAGATGAACCAAAAGCAGCTATTTAATGCTCGATCAACAAAACATACTATTAGTTTGCCAGACACAACCCTGATTGTTATTGTATATTCCTCTCAGTTTGATGGATATACCGCTGCCAAATCGTACTCTTAATACGGCCTGAGACATTGGCCAAGACTTGGAATCCCACATGAATAAATTGACGTTTTGAACCATTGTAGCTATGTCGCTGCCTGAGTGCAGAACGAAGCGGCAACCGTCTCGGGTATTTTCGTGAAGTGCAGTTGTGGAGATATTGTCACTCATCACTGTCTCACCGTCCACGCGAGAGCTATTGCAGTCGGCATGGCCATTACTAATCAAGTTCATATTGCGTGCGACTGGTTCATTGGATATTCGAGCGTCTTGGATAGACATAGCATCTTGTAGATCGCTGTTTTGAATACCAGCGTTTAGGAAATTAGTCTTGTACAGATTGGCATGCTGCAACCTAGCGTTGTCCAGAGTACATCTCTCAAAGGAACAATATTTCATATTGCCAAACGAGAAGCTTGGGTCGAATAATCTGCAGAGCTGAAGTTAGCCCCCCGGCAATCCGCTTGTGTGAAATTTGCGCTCGATATTTGGCTCTCGCGGGACTTGGCTGACACTAAAAGTTGAATTTGTCCATAGCTTTTTGCTAAAAAAAGTAAAACGTTTCTGAATATCATGTAGCACAGCTGATGAAAATATGACATGAACGAGCTGCACAAGGATGAAAACAGGATCCCTGAGCTTCGCAAATGAAAAGTCGATGTCATGGAGTGTACCGAACTCAAGCACAACATTGAAGAGGCGTGTATGTGCAAAACTGACATTGAAAAATCTATATTCCCCAATCGGGGATTCGATAAATGAGTATCGATGAGAGAGGTGGATGAAAAATTGGCATTACAAATCGAGCTGAATGAAAGATCGATCTTTCCCAACTCAGCTGATAAAAAGTAGGCATTGTTTATTGTGGCAAAGGTAAAGTCGACATTTTCGGGTTGGGTCGATGAAAAACTGACATTGTCTATCTGAGCGCCTGAGAAATTGCTGCGACTAATCTCTATCCTTGTAAATTTCGCATTCCATAGAAAGACACCAGCTAACGACAAATCATTTAATTTCTCTTTATTGATTGCTAAATAGCGGAAATCGACGTCACGAACTTCCGCTGTTGAGATATCCAGTACAGGGTGTGGGTATGGTTATGAATCTTTTTTTAGTCAATACCCGCACCCACACCCACACCCTCTCCGCGTAGACGCAAAAGATCGAAGAAAGTCAACACCAATTGCTTCATTTTCCAGAGGCTACCGAACAAAAAGGAATTTACTGATCCGCTATTCGAATTCAAATATTAAGAAAAATCTTCCTTAGTAAGCGTGGCTGTTGTAGTTAAGTTAGTCTAACTGCAATTAGTACACCTAACTAAATCTTTTACAGTCAGTAGTTAGGCTAACTACTTCAGTTCTAGAGTTATTCAAGGTACACTGACCATCAACTGTATTTTGAAATGGATAGTACTAACTTGTCACAAAAGTTCTTTCTAATTCCTCTGCCCTGTCCTCCCCTCTGTCTTGTCTACCTTCTTTCTTTCATCTTGAGGGTGGTCCTTCTACGGAGGGAATGAGCTTCCTTTAAGTAGATGCAAGCCTATTTTTTGAAAAAAGTTATAAGACGCTTGTTGAATTGACCATTGGTTTGTCCAATTGAATCGAAGAATTTTCTCATCCTTTTTCATTGGAGACATACTGTCATCTATTCAACTACCTGCAGCTAAGGAAAAATCTGGTGAGTTCGGTTGAGGAGGAGTTCACATCGTTTGCTGTCTCGATCGAGTCCAAGATTGATTCAGTTGAGTTTCAGTAGAAAAATATTTGAGGCTGCATCACCACATCAAATAAAGAATGAATTAAGAGAGAACCGCTGCAGAAAGAGGTGAGGGCTGAGAGTGGAGCTCATCGATTTCTCAGGTGATAGGGCTGCCATAGAAACCATAAAAAATGTGAGAAAGTATTCAACTCCGCCGGAAAACAGAAACATTTCCAAGACTGAGGGACATCATTCAGTCCCCGTCTCGCCGGCCCTGATCGGGATGCAGCCATTCATTAGTAGAATCGCAGTGATGAGACAGTACTTCTGCATAATTATACAGGTGCTAGAAACATTATTTTTGTTTCGGAATAGGTCAATGTAGTACTCTATTTACTGGTCAAGTAACCTATTCAACGGGCTCTAACCCTGACTCTCTCAAGGCAGTCGACATCAATGGCGACAACAAAACAGACATTATTGTCGCAAACTCCAGTTCGAACAATGTCAGTGTTCTCATCAACACAGGCAACGGCACGTTTGGTGCTCAAAAGACCTATTTAACTGGGGCTACCCCATACGAACTGACAGTAGTCGACGTCAATGGCGACGGCAAACCCGACATTATTGTCGCAAACTTCGGTTCGAATAATGTCGGTGTTCTCCTCCACACAGGCAATGGCACATTTGGTGCTCAAAAGACCTATTCAACTGGCAGTTCGCCAGACTCTGTGGTAGCAGTCGACATCAATGACGACAACAAAACAGACATTATTGTCGCAAACTCCGGTTCGAACAATGTCAGTGTTCTCCTCAACATAGGCAACGGCATGTTTGGTGCTCAAAAGACCTATTTAACTGGGGCTAGCCCATACGAAGTGACAGCAGCCGATGTCAATGGCGACAACAAACCCGATATTATTGTCGCAAACTACGGTTCGAACAATACCGGTGTTCTTTTGAATTGTTGCTGATATACAGATTGTATCCTGTTTATTCAATAACATTCCCAGTAGTTTAAAATTTTTACCAGAAAGTCATTATATTATTTAACAGTCATTTCATGTAAGTTGTGACTGATTCCTGCGATGGGTGCTCAATCGCTATCTCCGATTTGACCTATTTTAACGTATGTTATTGGGCCGAATTTAGAGGATTTTTGACATAAGCCGATTGAAAAAAGATTGAATTCTTGCTTATATATTGCATTTTTACTGATGGAATGCCAATTTACTCAGAAGATTTTCAATATTTCTATAAGAAAGGTGTGGGTATAGGTGTGCTTGAATAGCAACTATGACGCATTTCGACCTTGCGTAAGGGCCTCATGGGGTAGTTTTATCTGGCATAAATGTTCCACGAGTCGAAAAATCACATATATGTTTTTCATGTTGCATTCCTTTGTAGGATGTTTTCTGATTCAAAGGTGAATTGTAAGTGAGAGATATCATTGACGGTTCGTTTATATTAGCATGTGGAAAATATTTGAGAATCAATTATGCTGGAAATGGCGGATCGCTATTTTAGAAGTATCTTTGACTCCATCTTTGCAGAGAGTTCCTGAGCTTGATTGTTTCTAAGAAATAGCTGATGAGAGTAAGGAGCTAATAATTTTATTTTCTGTATTGGTATGATGTGCTAATTTATTGGAAATTTGAATGAGGAGATTATTTTATGATGGTAGTTGTAGGTGTGTAATTATATGCACATTTGTGACGATGCTGTTATTGAAGGAGCTAATTTGGCGATGATTTTGTGTGCCTTAGTTGCAGGTCTATTTGTTTTTCAGATCTACTGTTACATACATTTTATATGTTCTTTTCAATTGAATGATGTTTTATTTATTTATAAATGACAACATAAAATTATAAATCAGTTAAGTCAGTGGCTGGTTAGCTCTGCTTGAGAATTATGTTTGTTGACCAGTCTCAGGTTGTGTTTTGCTCTATTGGTCGCTTCTCACACCTGGGATATGTTTTTTCATCTTGGCCATCAATTCTTGTTTTAAGTTGTGATTCAAATAAGTTCCAATGATCAGAACAGTATTCATGGTCTCTGTTTGATAGAAAGTGCGACTCCACAATTCGTGAATATGTCGGTGATTGTTTCCGAGTCGTTTTTCATGTGCTTGATGAATGATGAGACGTTTTCTGGTTGTTAATTCGTTGTTATCTACGGGTTTCATAACCTGATTTTGTATATTTTTGTCGAGAGTTTGATTATAGATAATTAAGTTGTCGGTTGTTTTATCGTATTCTGCATGTGTTGATGTTCTTAATAACTGATGACGTAAATAGCCAAAGTCACCAGAGTTATAGAGCATAGGCAAAATGAAATGCTTGGATAAATATTTACTGAATAATTTGGTGAGTCGCCGATCGATATTTCTTGGCGGATAACTGTAAGTCACATACAAAGAATGAGAAACGTGAATGAATACCTGAAACTTACCCATTATAGAGAAACATGAGTTTCATTTGTCGTATTTCTTCTTCGAATTGAGACAAGGTTGTTGAATAACGAACTGCTCTCGTAATAGCAGTCCCAATGGTGTTTCGAAAAACATGATCAGGATGAT